TTACATCTGTGTGAAGAATTCAATATATACACTGGCTGTCATTTACTTTCACATGCTGTACCTGTCACTGGAGCAAATTAAGTAAATGTCAGATCAATACATTTATGATTATTACAGTCGATCTCTATGGAATAATTGTATTTATTCTCCTTCAATCTATTCTTATTAGCATCTCTTAAGCAAACTTGTTCAACTAATAAGTGCTACCTTTACCATGTACAGTGTGCTTATAGACTGACTTGTTCATAGTCTCATTTGTTCTTAATGTTCCTTTCGCATTAACTACTTTCACGATAGATAGATAAATGATTTGTTTGTATTGTTTAGATATGTAATATATAGCACATGGCGATATACTAATACATGTTCTTGATATTTTAGGTCTGATAGGTATAATAAGAGCAATATTTTGACTAATTCCTTAGTAACGTAGTAAAAAGTCACAGTCATGCAAAGAAGATGACGTATCTTTTATTATCAGTATTCATATCTACAAATATTCACAACCTTGCCATTGTTTCACTTTATTATAAAATTCACTTGACTACGTTTTGTTGCCTTCTTGATTACTCAGTTGCGCCTTAAGGTATCAATAAAAACCCGTCTAAGCGAAAGTGTTTCATGTTTGTATTCATTATTAAAGGGTAATGTTTCACAATTTCAGAGGAATAAGATATTTATATTGAGAAATATGGCATTAAGATATAAAAACATACAAATAATGTTTATCGAAAATCACAAATTTACCGAATCCTAACATTCAAATCGCAAGTCAACTATTTATCTATTTTGTGCGTTTGTCTAGGCAAAATGTTCTGAAAGAATTTCCGACTTTGTTATATCAGTTCAATGTATTATAAAGTTTAATGGATGCTGCCGACCTTTTCGCTAACACGGTAGACTGATTACTCATTTAACGTAGCACTGAACAGCTTCTTAAAAAGTTTTTAATGTCATTTGATGAGATAATTTACAGATTCCTGAAAATGTCAGATGTCTGAAAACCTTGGCAGTTTTCAATATTTCCCAACGCGAAAAATGGAACTCTATGGAAAATTATATTAAATTTGGTACCGCATATCAATTCATAAGAAGTTTAAGAGCAGGTGCTGCTTTGGATTGCCAGCCGCGTGATTTCTAACCCCATCTGAAAAGAAGGTCTTGATTCATTGATCGAGAAGGCCGAATATCTATAACACGTGAATCGTGAACCGACACATTTTTTGTTTAGCATATTATTGTCATTGTTAGTACGTTCAGAGTCATTATGGTAAGAAACATGTATTGTTGACATAGGTATGTCGTTTGTAACTAAATCTTAAATTAAAATTAATTCAAACGTAACTGTTTCGATAAGCAGTTACAACACAGTTTTATCAATTCTGTAGTTTAAAGACATTTCTTACATAACTGCAATTTGAGTCTAGTAAGCAAAGCACGAAATTTTAAATGGTGCAAATGTCTACATGTATGCCTAATTAAAGAAAAAAATAAAATAAACACTTTTTATGAAATACATAATGTAACAGTACAATACTTTTTTAGTAATCTTCGCCTGTATTTTATGTTTATACTATTTCACGTTATTTTGAGAGCACAACATTTGTTTGTTGGGTTAAACGTCACGCCAAAACAATTATAGTCATATGGCGACTTTCCACCTTTATTGGTGGCGAACGGCATCATGTCGCCCTTAATACAGTAATACATTATTTTAGACACAAACAGGCTACTATGTAAAACCACCGACGCCCCGAAAGCTAGCTGGATAGCTTTTTCTCATGAAAAAATTCCGAAGATGCACGCACCTACAGCGGTTTATGACAAGTGGTTGAACTAAACGACCCTAACTACTTGTCTCTCACCGCTAATTCAATTTCATTTTCAGTGATGGGCGGGAATTCAATGACAAAAACGACTGTCAAATCATATGAGGTATTGCTCCCAATAGTCATGTGGTATCTGTTCCTGAAAATGACATAAAATAAACTAGAACAACTTTTAGAAGCAGGTAACAAAATGACATAAATGAAGTGATGTCTGTGTCCGATGATTTATGAAATATTCTGCTCGAGAACAAGGGCAATCTGTTTCTTCTGTAAGAAAAAGTGGTGGGTATTTATTAATTTTTTTTTTTCTAACGTAGATGATACGTTTATCAGATCTTCAATGATGGATGTTTTTTGCCGCAACTGATGTCTGATTTACATAACACAATTTAATCTTCATGATAACATTGCTGTCCTTACTAGATTATATAAACATTTTTGGAATAATAATAACACATTATGAAAAATTGGACGGATTTTCAAGTGCTCTTGACCATCTTTATGATCAAAGATCGTTACAAATGTTATAGATTGTAGAATCAATACTTATTTCAATGGAAACACTTCTAGATTAATGTGGCATTCCCAATAACGTATAACACACAAAATGTGTTTTTAAGCAATAACCGAACAGACAGGGATATCTAGGCACGGCCGTGTTACTTCTCGGGTATTTTAACAAATAAAAGTTGCTCTAAATATGGACCTTTCCGGTTTTTCGTAGTGGAACATTTAGCCACACTTTTTCCATTCATTGTTAGGTCAACTGCTCATAAACAGTATCACAAACATAAGCACGTGCTCTTTTGTGCAAACCAGGTCAACCAGTGACTATGTATTATCTCAATGTAGCAATTGGATAACAAGTTTGCCAATTTACATAAAACTGTAATCACTGGAAAGGTCCAAGCTTTTGGTGTTACAATTTTCCGTTCATACGATGCATTTGCAAATGAAATAGTTTCTTGTCCATTGAAACCATATTTTGACACTTTGAGAAAAAAAAATCACTGAAATGGCTGTGAATGCATTTTTACACTATACTTCATAAAATTTTATTTTGTATTCTACCCATGTTCATTTATTTAAACGAGGAATAAACTATTTTCTGTGTAACTTACATTGATACAGTAAATTTTGAGCTATACTTGCTAGCAATTTATTAGTGTAATGATTGTGTATTTTAGATTTATTTAAAGGTAATGTAGGTGCAGATTCCAAAGACATGAATAAAGGGCATAGATACACTGACTGCAAAGCAGTTGCTGCACTTGTACATTTCAACTTTAATGCATTTGACGATGCGGAAAACAGAGACATAATGTATCTGCCGAAGTAACACAGAAGTACACGCATAGATATTTACACGATACGTAGGTTAATCGCAACCAATTAGCTGATAAATCAAAAACCATATCAATAATTATTGGATAACTTCCAAAATCAAATGTAAACTTATGATACTAACACAATTATAACTCGACCAAATGCTTTACAGTCAGGTTTACTGAGATTTATACAATAGATCATTTATAGCCTCAAATAATGTATTTTTTACGTTTCCTTCACATGTTGATTTGACAGTTTATATGATTATTTATTATCACATTTGTATTTCTTTCATGGTTTGTGTTGTAAATATGCAGGCTGGGATATTCATAATGATATGTTATAAACATTGAACATTGAAAGTAAACTATATGTAAAACATCATTGCATGATAACTATATCTTACCCTTTTCTGTCTCCTATCTATGAACGTTTGGTCGTGTCATTTCAACTTTTTGAATTCTCGTGTTCATCCTTACGATTTCACAATAATTTAAATTTGATTTATGTACGATTTCAACATCCAGACTACACAAATTCACAATTTCAACTGATGAATACAAGATTTCAGTTTCACGAATTAACGATTTCAACTCTTTATTTCACGAATTTACGATTTCAACTTCACGAATTCACGTTTTGAACTTGGCAAATTCAATTTCGTGAATATGAAATTTTGAATTCGTGAAATTGAAATTGTAAAGTTCAAAACATGAATTCATGAATTTAAATTCATAAAGTGGGAATCATGAACTCATTATTTCATATAGTTGAATTAGTGAATTTGTGATGTTGAAATCGTGAAGTTCAAATCGTGAATTCATGAAGCGGAATTCTTGAAATCATGACGTTGCAATCGTGAATTCATGATACTAAAATCATGAAATAAAACATATTTTGTTCCACATTAAAACAGAGAACCGACATCAATCAACCGTGATTCGGCATACAAACATCTTGCCCTTGAAACAAAAGGGACATGTACAAATGAACTTGTTGGAAAGTCAGTTCAGTAGACAAACTTTCTTACCAAAATTAATTATTGTTGTTGTTACTGGTTTCAGCTACACATGTATAGCTCGATCTGCTTGTCGAGGAGTGAATATAAAAAAATAAAATATTGAAATATATTGAAGAACCTTTGGATTCTATGGCAATTACATTCTTGATAAATAAATAGATAGATAAATAAATAAATAGATAAATAGATCAAATCGGTGTCACAAAAATAAAATAAACATCTGAAAAAGTTGACGGCGTACATGTTATATTTCGGCTCTCAGTTGACTAGGGTAGTGTTTATGTTTAACAATGACGGCAGTATATAACTAATCAAGGATTGGACTGATTTACTATAGAACATATACAGTAGCTAAGAAATTTGACTAGGCCGAGTAAATAAATGGCATACTATCTCATGTGATTGTATAGTTCTTAAAATAATTGTCGGTTTATTTATTTTATACAAATCATCCAGTTATTGTTTTGCCTTTGTTCGATGGCCATATAAATATAGTATTTGGTACCGTAAATGTTGATAAAAAAGTAATTTGTATAAAAGAATGGGCAAGCTCTTTGCATGACTTAACACTCAATGGTGATGAATCGCGTGTCCTACTTCTTGCACGTCCTGTTTACTAACGCTTGATACCATGTAATTGTTCTTTTACCTAGTATTGTTATTAATTCCAAGAGTATTTAAAAATATTGTTATTAATTAACATTAACGTCACGATACGCGTATTTAATGTTTTTTTTTTGGTTGGTTGGTCATTCGCAATATTCATATCCTTGAACGATACACCTCTAGGTCATTGATACACATGCATTTAGAACAGTATAAAAAGGAGAGCTTGCCGAATGATGTTTCATAAACTTCTTACAACTTGCAAAGATGAATTGGTCAACGCTTATATTATGTTTATTCGCAGCGGTACTTAAAGTTTCGAGTGTTGCACTAAAGAGCAAGCCGACTACAAGTGTTTTCAGGTAAGTTGATATTCATAATCATGTTGATGTTTTTAAAGAGGGGTAATGCACGTTTTTTCGTGCATTAACACCTGCATATTCACAAAGACGCATTCCGCATGAGCTCAATTATTGCATATATATTTCTGATTCGGCAATACCATTCTTCGTTATTTATCAAATAGAATAAACCGTAAATGAATTAAAGCGTTGATGATCTGATACAATATCACCTAAAATGAATTTGTTAAAAATGAGAAAAATATAACTATGTTAATATAGATCTAGAATTTAAAGTCATTATTATAGATCTAGAATTACAAAGTCATTATTATTTAAGTTGAAAATTAGAGATACATGTACGAATTATCGTTCCCTTTGTTTACAAACAAGTATTTACATCAAAACATGTAAAATATTACTAAACATTATTTAATATCTATTTGAATTAAATTTCAATTATGTTACAATTCATATTTTTACTTCTTCTGTTAAATCATTTCCTTATATTAGATAAGTGTTTTTATGCATTCGTACACAAGAAGGAACTGAGAAATAATGTATACTACCTGCTTCATATCATGTTATGTGTGTGTACAGTGTGTATATGATATCAATTCTTTGCAGCACTGACAATGCGCTTCAAACGTCTGACCTTGAGAAGGGAGGATGGCAAATGGTTTTCCGCGCAGCTTCCGGAAATGGCGATAGCGTTTACGACGCGTGGTTAAAAGGTACACACCTTACTTTAAATAGTCTGTTACCTGATTTCTTAATCTTCATGTTATTTGTACTCAAGATATTTATTGATATACTAATACATTTCACAGTAACAAATTTAAAATTTAAACATCTTTTTGATATGAATATACATTATTTATACACTTTTATTGATCCAATGATAAACGACATAACTTAATTAAGTTTGTTTATGAGATTTGTTTTATAATTCATTTTGGAATGGTTAATTATAATCATAGTGTTGTTGTTGTTGTTGTTGATGTTAACGTTTCATAAAAAAATCTTGTAAATTTAAAAAGGAAAGAAGAAAAAACAACAACAACAACAACAAACAATCCAACGACAATAAAAAACAAAAGTATACGTATTTTATTTATTTTGTTTGGAACAAAAACAAATGCTGATAAGCCTGTCTCGATGAAAAGATCACTCGCTTTGCACTACCGTAACCCAATTGTTGATAACTGGCCACAGCTTGGTGTGAAATACGTAAAATTTGCCTTCTACGACGAAGACAAAGAAGTTGCACAAGTTACTTTCGATGGTACGAATAGTGACATAAAAACCTGGTTTGCCAAACAAAACGTATTGACCTCCAGCTGGCCGGATCTGACCTCAACACAGTCATACAATCATTTTTCAATCGACGGTCATAACAATAACAATTTACAAGACAGGCGATTCTTCATCAATAAGTTATACGCAGGGTGTCCAAAAGATCTTGGCTACTTGGTGGTGATCAACTCAGAGACCCCGGCCTATTGTTTGTGGGACAAACATGCTACATATCCACAGTTCCTCTATTCGAAGGTTACCTCTGTAGACTACTGGGACAGACGCATGTTTGGTACTGCTGACTTCATGGCAATTTTTATAAAAAGAAGCGTTTAAAGCGTAAGACTATATAAGCCATTCTTTATTAAAACAAGTTTTTTTACAGTGTTTATTAAGATAATACACAGAAATCTATCTTAAAGCAAGCACATGTAAATAACAGTAAATGAGACAGACGAGTATATATGGCTATTCTTCTCCAAACAACAAGTGATTAACATAATTGCAACAATTATCAAGAACGTGTTTTAAAAATGTAGATCAGCAATTATTATATTATATTTCTTTATTTCATTGAGTATGTTTTGCTTTTTAGCAGTAACTTGATAGATATGAAAACGCTTTTAGTAATTTTTCATGCATTATTTAGCACAATCTTTTATAAGATATATATGTATACCTTGATCATGTTTTTTCAAACTATAGAACTCCATGCTCATTTAATTTTTCTCTCTCTTTTGTTTATTTGCTTCTCTATTTGGAGTATATATGTGTAGAAATATTCGCGGGCTTCAAATTTTCGCGATCTTCGCATCCGCGAATTCATGTTCAGCGAGAATATTTCTACACCAATAATTTCTTAATAGTCATATTTTCGCGCATCTATTGAACAATGTATATCAGTGTGTTCACGGCTGCCATAAGATGGTATCCGTGGCGCTTTCAAAGAGTGATTTTACTGTTGTATTAACTGTACATGTAACATTCAGCTCTGTATATAAATCAGTTTGCTAGTGTATTATTGTTTGACTGATATGATTATCGGATTCTTGTATAAGTATATACATGTTTGAATAATACCATTGCATTATGCTATTTATTTCATAGTCTGAGTCATAAACGTCTTGACATCTGATCAGATTATATTATGTTTTTCTAAACAAACAATACAAATAACAAAAACATTAACGATTCTAACTGATAAAAACATGGAAAACAAAACACAATTACTCAGTCAACATTTTAACAAAATTGGTGAAAAGGTTATTGTCTCACTCAGTGATGTTTAAAACTGTGAAAAATCACGCACGTTAACGGACATTCTTTTGTTTGCAATAATCTGCCCTCTAGACAAATTGAATGTCTTTATTCTGTACAATAGCGTATTGTGTTGAAAATAACTGTGAAATCCCACAATGATTACAGTAAAAGTATGTAAAATGAAAGAAGGCTGCTTGCGAAAACTATTGCCTAATCGTGTAAGAGTAATTTCCCTTATTTTTAACCTGATGGGTGTACGCGAATTTATGATTTACGGCAGTCACCTCCGCGAATTCAAAATAGCGCGAATATTTGTATATACCCCCAAAATGGACCTTTCCGCGAAAATTTGATTCCGCGAATTTAAATACACATACAATATGTTCTTTTTATAAATTATGTATTTGTTTGCTATAAAATAAAATTTGAAACCAGAAAGATTCCTCTATATATTGTCATGTGTAATTAAGCCTTTCCTTAACCCTCACCTCAAGAACAAACAGATAATGATTGACAAGACAAAGCTAAATATGGGCGCCTTTATCTATGATAGACTGCTTTTAATTTTGCCATCATATGAAAGACATGTAGACAGCTTAGACAAAACAATTATCTTTCTAATTACTTGTTCCGAACTGTAAATAACGCCGATCAGTTTAAAAGTAGTACAGTGACTCCTATAGCATAATGACCTTGGACTTTATTCTGTAAAAAATACCCCCACCTTTTTTACCTTTTTCCGTACTGACTCCCACTAAAGAAATAATTCAATCCTCCCAGAAACCTGTTGATTCATTTTGGCTATCGGAGGCGGCTGTAATTGTTGCAACATAAATAAATCAAAGGCCTGCATGCTCTGTGGTATTTTCTGATCTTTCCAGTATAAGTTTATTTTTATATACTATCATTCATTTTACGCAGCGACTGCGTTTAACAGTTTGTGATTGATACATATGGAATTTTGCATGCCTAGAGTTGCATCAAAAATCATTTTTCATTTTTTATTACAGCCACACTTTGTCCTTGCATATCGTGGCTACTTCCCTAAAAAGGACACTTCAAATTTTTTTTTGCCTCGACAAGGATTTTAACCGTAGGCCTCTCACACCCTAAACGAGCGCGCTACCTCTGCACCACAGTGAAGTAATACGTATGTAGCGTGAATAAAAACAAATACATTGTAATTCTAAAATTGAGAATTTTCATTTCGTATTTGTAATCCTTATTAATTTCGAGGTATTTTGTTCACGATAAACCTGTTGTTAAACACTGATGAAAATAATTTAGCGAAAATCTTCTCGCCAAAACAGTCCGACATGTATATATTCCATTACTCGACAGTCAGATTTATTTGTGTACTACGCTCTAGAGTATTCGGTAATCGACATAGCTAAAAATAGCATTTTCATTGATTAAGCTTTACGGAAATAGTCGAACATTTTTCATTGGGTAAAAAAGATATTCATCCGCGAAATTTGTGATTGTAACCTCATATTTCTATTGACTAATGTAAACTTTAAATGCACTGTAATTCGTTTAATGCCTACATTAAAAATTATTCTTTCTTTTAAATTGCTGATTTTTAAGCAGTTTTGATTGAGAACTACTTTGCGTTGTTAGGCCTGTGAGGAAATTTTGTGTTAGACAGTAGATGTTAGCTATGTATTTACTGATCTTGCGATCAGAAATTACAAAAACGGAATCCCTAAAGAACACAAAAAACGACAAAATTGAAAAAATAATAGAGGCTCTGTTTGATTGAGCCTGTTCATGGACTTTACTAAAAATGGCAAGGTACCATCCATGCCACCTAGCACCCACCGGCTTTACCCATTACTTCATGAGCATTTTGTGAAAAATGGCTATTTCATTGAAAAGTCTCCTGTTACAAGTTCAAATTGCTATAATTAATACTATAAAAACTGCTTCAACACTAATCAACCTTGGCACAAATGTTGACTAGACCATTGCCCTTGCAACAACATGCTCACGCTTAAATTTTCTGTTACCATGGCAACGACGGGACATCTCAAAATTGCCAAAAATCACTATTTTGCGTTGATTTTTTTCCATGAAAATTGATTTCAAAGTGCTGCAACTTCTCAATGGATTGAGATAGAGTCAAATGCTTTTCAGCGTTGGTTACACGTTACCTTATGATCAATCTGGGGTCATTTATAGCCTCTCACAAGTCCAAAACTTTCTTGGCGATGAGTGGGACTTCGCTCCCTTTCAACCCCCCAAACAGAAGGGGGCACATCCCCCTTCTGGCAACCCCCTGATGTATCTTTTGTTTGGGGTCCGCGCCGAAAAAGTGGTCACTTTTTTAACAACATTTCTCAAACAAAAACAAGTGTTGGGGGCCTAAATAAGGCATTTCTTTCACCATTTGAGGCAACAAAAAGGGGGGGGGGGTGAAAAAGGCGTTAAAAGGCGTGTATATCGCGTAATGGGTTCAGCGGAATTCATCTTTTAAACATGAAAATGGTTAAATTTTAAATTTAGAAACAGAAGTTGAAGTTTCATTTAGTATAAATAAAAACCTTGACTTTCCCTTGTCGTACTTCCTAGCCCAATCATCCAAAGTGATAGAAGTCCTTTTTTGTTGTATAAATCTGTGTGAAGAATTCAATTGATACACAATTACAAATTTGAATAATCATAAAAAATAAATTGCACGCCAAATATTGTTCGACAGGGCAAGGGCACCTGTACTGGGTAATATACTGCGATATATATGGATTATTTTTTTATCATAAGGATAGTCCGGCCAGTATATCACAGGCTAAAATAAAACAAAATGCCGTATCAGTATAACATATAAAACTATTTCAAACCATTTCTTCTTGTTATCAAATCATTTGCCTATGGATCATGCTTGTCTTTTCATATTCTATCAAACTTGAAAACTCCGCTGGAGGGAATGCTGAGTCGATTTCGAAAAATGATGGCTGTAATAATTTCAGTTATTTTCTTTTAACTTTAATAAATGAGCTTCTAAAATAACGTTTCATAGAGGTATTTAATTTTCGAACTGAAAAAAAATAAATGTTTTAGCATGCAAAGGACATACATAATACCTTAACCGGGAAGTCTTACATGTACATAATATGATGATCGGGGAGTCAATATTTAAACAAATAATGAGAGAAGTGTGAAAATGCTTTTTTGATGACTTTGTTTTTTTTATTTGTCGACCTGACATCGGGCTAGCTGTGCTGGCAAATGTAAATGCAACTGGCAGACTACATTTCCAGATTCCGTATCGCTAATGTAAGATCCCACATATCGTAATTTATTTACTCTTGCATAAAAAAGAATTAAGGTAGAACGCGACACTTTGCGAACTTTCGAGTAGCGTCTTGAAAATTGGCATGCAAATAATTGACCATATTTCTGATTGGATTTCGTTGATTTTATTTCAATAGTTTCAGCCAATTTTTGTACACATGACGTCAAAGTTGACCATCAAAGCCCGTTTTTGAACATGACGTCGTTGCGTATCCTTGGCAACTGTTACGGGTATTTCAACGCCATTGGCGGACAAAATATCTTAAATCCTACAGCATTCGACGGAAATTATTTTTTCCTTTAAACAGATATAAACTTTATAGTTTTACGTCGAAAATTGTTTGAGAAATGGAAAGAAAATTGTCATTTTTTTGTAAAATTTGACGTTCAGTTTAGTCGCAATTTTTGGCTTTAAAGCGGCTTATTAAAAAATTCCTGAAATAATTTTTGATTTTTTTCTTTGAACGTCCTTTAAAATGTACACTTAGTCAAAATAACTAAAAAAAATAGGGGGTCACCGACTCAATTTTTTCGGTACACGTGATTTTATTTCCCCCACCCCGTGAGTAATTTTGTAACGAAATTCGACGTATGCAGATACGTTTGAGACTTCAAAGTGCGGCAATAATGTTCAGCTTATCAGGAAAATTGTTCTAGAGTTTTACTAATACATATTAAACAACAACAACAATGTTCCATTGCAAATTCTTAAAATTGTACGAAAAACAAACGATTTTTTCTTGTTTTTAAGCATGCTTAATAACTTCATAAGAAATTGTAAACAGACGCATGTAAAGAAAATGGCGTCAGGCGTTCAACGGCAACGCGTACGCTGCGCAAACAAAAATAAATACAGCTGAGAGTAATCATTTGCGGTGTTCCTTTTTGATATTGTAATACAATAAGATTAATAAACTTGAATCGAGAAATATGCCTTAAGGAACAAAAAGCAACTATATATTTTTATGTAAATTGTGCAATTTTATACATTTTGCATTACCCAC